TATAACACCTTCTTTCTTATGTTAAAAACTCATTATGTAACACCAGCATTATTCAAGGTTTATTAAAAACCTGGTAGGTACCTTATACAGTTTCTCCAGCTCCTGCACTGCTGAATCTACATCCAGCTTAAGTGTATTAACACGAACATAACGTGGCTTTATATGACCTGCATCCAATTTTCAAAATCAAGATATAGAAGAAGAAGAAAAACACACCAAATACAAAAAAAAATAAGATAACATGTTAGTGCTACCATTAAGTTGAGAAAGATCCAACAACTCTTCAACCGATTTAACTTTCTTCCTCACAAGAAGCGTGGCTAGACCTGACAGTAAAGCATCTTTACGGCGCACAAGAAACTTCTCAGCATCACCAATAGATGGAGTCTCCTGCAATTAGAAGCTCTCTTGAGAAAAACAACCAAAACATAGCTAGAAGCAGTAGAGAAGCTCCCAAAAGCTATTACCTTGCCGAAAAGAATATCATAGCAAATAATGTAGACCAATGGCTCTTGCCTCTACAAAGAGAAAGAACAAAATTAAGCATTGAAGGGTAAGTGAAAGGAGTGATCTTTATGGTGATTACGATGAACACATTACCTTCCATTTGCTATTCAATACGTTAGCGATTTCAAGAACATCCTTTATCACATTAAGATCTGCATGGAGACAAAACTAGTTCATTATACACAGAAGCTTCAAAAATCGAATTTGGCTGCTTGGGCTAAGCCTAAGAAAAAAATTACGAACCAAAAACCTAAACCGTAACCGAAATAACCAAAACAGAACCAGACTGAAACCTTCGAATATCCAAATGTTCTTATGTTTTTATATCTGAAATAATTGAACCGAACTGGTAAACCTAACAATTACCTAATAAATAAAATATTAATTATACTTACATATAACACAACTAAATATTTATATAATATCTAAATTCTATTAAAATATATCCAAACTAACAGAAATTATCCTAAAACAATTGAATATTTTTATCCGAAATATCCAAACTATCCTATTTTTATCCAAATCATCTTTAATTACTCAATATTTTACCGAAAATATCTGATATTTTACCTGAATAAACCGAACCTAACCCAAACCAAAATTTAATTTTTCAAGGTATTAGACAGTTCTCAGATTACTATCCGAACCGACCCAAACTCAAAACTACCTATTCCTTTATGGATCTTCTAGTCCCCTATCCGAACTAACCAAAATATCCAACCAAAACAATACCCAAAATGCCCCTGCCTAGTGTGGACATTGGCTATGAGTCTCTCTTCTGAGCTACTAAAGAAGAGAGAGAGACGTACACTTTAGCGTCTCGCAGACAAGAGCGAAGGTTCCACGTTTGTTACGAACAGAGGGGCTGAAGACGAGTGACTTTATTGAAGCGACGGCTCGGCGCTCGGCGTCGCCTCGGAGAACGGTGTGGAGAACTTTAGCTGCTTCTCTTCTTGCGTATAAAGACGATCTCTCGGCGCCGGAAGGTTGTTGTTTTTTCGGCTGACGTGTTACTTTCGGCGGCGCTTTTGATTTGTGACGCGCCATGATAACCCTCTCGCGAAAACTAAAACCCCTCTTTCTTAAGGTTTAGATCTTTTAAATGCATCGGTTTTGAGTTTCCGGTTTTGTAAAACCGAACCGAAATTGTACCGGAGAGGTTTTAGGATGCAAATGGTTAACTCGTTTGTTAGAGCATCTTCATCCTATATCTATTCTAATGTGTTTTTTATATAGTTTTTGAAATATATTTTTGAAATATAATTTATTCCTCTATATTTAGAGGCAAATGTACCATTTTTTAAATAAATAGAGAAATATATATCATTCTTCCATAGAATGACACATTGGAACAAAAACTTCATTTCTATTTTTTTCTGGGATAAAATCTTTAAAATAAATATGATTTGGAAATAGTCTTGTTAACTAGTTGAGTTGAATTTGACTATTTCTCTAAATTCTTATAGAAATTCATATGTACCTATTTTTAGTAGGCTCTACTAAATAAATGGAAATGAGACCAATTCATAGTACTCTTTCAAAAATAAAGAAAACAGTCAGAAAATTAGTGGAAAAAATAATGCCTCTTTTTGTATACATTTATCTAGGCCTGGGCGTTCGGTGGCCCATTCGGTTTCGGTTCGGATTATTTGGATTTTCGGATTTTCGGTGTTATGCTCACAAGTACCATTCGATTTTTACTAATTATCGGATCGGATTCGGTTCGGTTCCTTCCGGGTTCGGTTCGGATCGGATCTAACCAATGTTTAAAATCGTCCAAAAATATATTTTTTAAAACCTCGAAAATTGACAAAAAAAAGTTTCAAAATATATAAATTATTTACAAATCTAATTAAAAATTAGTTAAACTATCTAAATTAACTAAAAGTATTCAAAATAACAAATAAAACAAACTACAAAAATATTTTGAATAATCTAAAATATCTAAATCACCTTAACATATATAAAAACATTAACATATTAAACTAACTTCGGATATATTCGGATTCTAATTCGGATTTCGGTTCGGATTATAACCATAGTCCAAAGCTCATAAACCCCGTTCGGATATTTTTGTAAAACAGTTCGGATTCGGTTTCGGTTTTTCCGGTTCGAGTTAAGGTCGGTATTTCGGGTTAAGTTAAAAATGCCCAGGCCTACATTTATCACTATTCATCTCATTCAACTACCACTATTTTTATTAGGTCTAACAATTTGGAGATATCTCGTATGGACAAATGCTGATTCAAGTAGTATAATATTGCAACTTGAATCGTTAAGCTTTATTCACCACTTATAACATTTTCTTGTTACCAAACTCAGAAAAAAATATGATCCCTGCATAAACAAAGTCCGCATGACTATGACTAGAAAAGTCAACAGTCTCTAATCCATAGAATGCATTGGTGTTTTCTCTCAGTGATGATGACAAGACTTGGTGGGAATGTAACTTAAGCCTTAAGTTCCTTGCACCAGAAGACTTAATGAAAAGACTTGCAAAAAAAAAAAAAAAAAGTAGTTGTGGACCAAGACACAAGTCAACCACAAGTCTTTGTAAGACCAACCCTGTTTTAAAACAGCATCATCTTTCTTATGTCAGCTTCCTCATAAAATTTGTACCCACAAGTACACGTTTCTACAGATTTTATATTTTATAAGTTTTCAACACTTACCTTGAAGCTTCCTTTCTATAGTTAAGTCTTTACATATTCCAAAAAAAGAAAGATTTCTTGAAACATTCTTTTTTTTTTATATGCATAGTTAGTAGTGTTTTTTGAGTTATGAGTGATGCAGAGACAAACTTGGCGTGGAGTTTCAGTGATGATACTCACTCAGGGTTCACACTTCCTGATCTATACTTGTCAGATGAATGGATGGACGATGATCTTGTCTCTGCGGTTTCCGGGATGAGTAATTCTTATGGTTATCAGATCAGTGATCATGATGCTCATGCTTCCTCTGTTTTGTTCTCTGGTTCCTCTAGCAGTTTCATTCATCCCACATCTCCAAGTAGTATATCTTCTGTTGCTGCTGCTACAACCACTGCTTCTCCCGGTAAGTTTATCTTTCTTTGTGTGGAAACCATATAACAAAGAAAGAAAAAAATAAATAAATAAATAAAAAAGAAGAAAGGATTATCTTGAATGAAAATGGAAACTATGATTCATATGAATCTTTGGATCACAACACTCCTTTAAAGCATGTCTATAATTGTAGCTTATGCTGATCTTATTCTTAGACACTAGGACATGAACCCTAAGACTTGTAAGGTGAATCAAAATGGAGTTTTACAAGTCACTCTAAGCTGAATCTGTTTTTCTTTCTTGTAGAAGGAAACCAAATAAAGAAAGAAAAGAAGAAAGTTAAAGAGAGAGTTGCATTCAAGACAAAATCTGATGTGGAAGTGCTTGAGGACGGATTCAAGTGGAGAAAGTATGGGAAGAAGATGGTGAAGAACAGCCCACATCCTAGGTAAGGATCACATTTTTCTCAATATTAATTACATTTTTCAAATCTCAGAAACCTTTTCATACTCTTTACGACCAAAAACACACACGGAAAGATCTTTTAGTTCTAAAGAGGCATACCAAATTTGACAAAAACATGGCTTGCTTGTTAGAGTTTAGCTGTTATGACCTGAGAATCAAATACATAATGATTTTTTCCATGTTCATTTTGCAGAAACTACTACAAATGTGCAGCTGATAGCTGTCCAGTGAAGAAAAGAGTTGAAAGAGATAGAGATGATCCTAGCTTTGTGATAACAACTTACGAGGGCTCCCACAATCACACAAGCATGTACTAAGGCTCCCAAGACTTTTTATCATTTTTTTGGTGTTAGTTACCTATGGCATATGAATCTAATATATAACCAGTGATATTCACGGTATGTACTTTATGAATCTGTTCTTGAGACTTTTTTTTGAACATTATGTTCTTGAGACTTATCAATGGTTATCATATTTATACTGCTTTTAGCTCATTGTATATTTGTATTCAATGTAAACTGGTTAACAGGTTTCACAAATTTTGAGAGACTTATTATGCATCAGTAGTACTTGAAGTATGGTTTATGTTGTGTTCTTTTTTTTGTTTTTTTTTTTTTTTTTATGGTTTATGTTGTTACAAGTGAGGATCAGGGATGTTGTTAACAACATAAGATAGCCAAATCTGATAGAGCACAATGATCTCTTGAATCAATACCCGAAAACAAGCCATCAGAAAGAATAACAGACGGTCCACTTACCATGTAGCAATACTTTGATTCTACACTTGACCTTCCTGTAGTGAAATGTAGACCAAGGGACATGTTTCTCGAGTCTCTTACACTAAAGACATAAACTCATATGTTTTGAGTAATAGGAAAGATATCATCAAGCTTTTTAAAAGAAACAAGCATACAGCTGCAAGAAGAAGACCATGTTCTTGCAAATGGAGTATATATATACCAAACAAAACAATTCTCTTGCAAATGGAGAATATACTTCTTTCAACTCGAAGAAGAGGAGATTGCGAAGGATTTTCCATCATGACTGGCTCTTAAACAGAGAGTGGAAACAACGTATAAAATAATACGCCGATGGAAATGATACTATCACAATTTTCTAGTAATGACTACTGAACATAATATGACGCACAATGGAGGAAGAGGAAGAGCCGAAGAGGAGATGAAGGCAGAAGGCATGAAGCTAAGATAGACGACTTGTGTTGTTTCTCTGTTCTGTGTTCGTTACAAAACGGCATGCAATTTATTTTATTCAGTTTAGGGACAGCACGACGTTGCCATCAATTTTATAAGAAAACCTTTTTTTTTTTTTTTTTAATATAATGCATGTTTAAAAGCTATTAAAACGATATTGAACAAATTAAGAACCAATCAAGTTGAAATCATTAATAGTAAAATCATAATAACAGATTTTTTTTTCATTTAAAAAAAATCATAATTAGGCAATCAGTTGCATGCATATCAAAATAACATCACTATATTTCAATGTTTAAGAAAGCGCTAGATAGTAATTATGTACTTTGTAGAAAACTAACGACTAGACAGATTACTTGGTGCCTAAACGTTAACAAACTATTGATTTATTTTATATTTATAAAAGATATTTTAATTTGGGTTTTAATTATAAAACTGTTTTAATGAATTATCAAAATTAGATATACAAAAAAAATCTGACAAATTTATGGACTTAAAGTAACATTATTACTTAATTTAACAAATTTAGATTAATTCATACCCATTCAAAACATTTTAAATAGATTTACAACTCTTAAACCAATTTGAATCTATAAATCAGATGTTGTGAAAAATAACTTTTGGATAATATATCGATTTGTCGTGGTCTAGGGGTCTAACCGTCGTCTATGCCAGACTATGATTATTTTTGAAACTTAGTAAGATTTTTTTTTAAAAAGAATTTTTTTTGATTAAAAAAAAAATTAAATAATGCATTAATCGTAGGCCGCCGGAAAGGACCCGCGAACCATGCTGTATTCATTAAGAGCATATACACCGAGGGTTCATAAGAGGTTTATAAGGGGGTTCACACAATTTTCTAGATGAATAGTGATGAACTTCTCTCTCCAAAAGTTCATTCCGGTGAATCTCAAGAAGATGGAGTTCACCACGTGTCAGAAAGGGATTGATTCAATTAATTTTTTTTTTTTAAAAAAAAAGAAATCTGACAAAAAGAAAAAATAATAGTAAAATATTTTAAGGATGAACGCCAAGAGAGATTCATTGATGTACATGCTCTAACATGCACTTTTAAACGTTGAAACGTAGATTTCTGTAAAAATAAAAGAGGATTGATAAACTAGTGGACTCATAATGATGTAACGAATATATTTTGTGAGAATGCATGCTATATATGTTGGAAACACAAACAATATTTCTTTATAATGTTAAAGTATATATAAGTCATTTACTCACCCAAAATTTTGACAACATACGTTTTATATTAGCAAATTTCGTTTTAAAATTAATTTAATACAAAAAAAAAACAAATTTCTCTTTAAAATTGTTCAATGATAGTCCTGAAAATCTTATACTTTTGTAGTTCTCCTTTATAGACTATTTTAATTAAATTGCTTGAATTTGAATTGTTTGAAAAATAAATCTCGAATCTAGAAGAGAATACGAGTACAACATATTAACAATACATATCTAAAAATACAACTTTTTCGTTTTGACCGAACGAAAAGGTGATACGAATCAATGGTGGATAGAAACTTGATCATTTAACAGCTAAATTTTAGGACAACCGGTTATTTTTATTACACCAACCGTTGAATTTGAGAGGAGATGCTTAGACCACAAGCAAGAAGCCTTTCTCTCTTCTCTTGACCTTGAGAATAATTCTTTTGCCTTGAGTTGCACTCTACCGACGATGGCTCCGTACTCATCAGACGATAGTCATTCTCCGGTAAACTCAACAGTCATCGCCATTGACAAAGAGAAGCAAAGTCATTACGCCGTTCGTTGGGCCGTTGACCATCTAGCCAACACCATTCAAAACCCACTCATCATTCTTCTTCATGTTCGTCTCAAAAGTTCAAGTTGTAAGTCCCTTATTTTATGTTAATTTTAATTATAAAAAATATTCAAACAATTTGGAAACCATGCAGTTATGTATAATAACTCTTAAAAATTTAGAAGTTGAGGCTGAATGTTTTTGTGTTTCATCATGAAGATTTTTATTTTTGAATGAAATGTAGATGGAGGTAATGGATCGAATGATGATCTAAACCAGCTTTTTATTCCATATCGAGGATACTGTGCACGAAAAGGGGTACGTAATATAATCTTTCCTTCCATCTTATTTTCTCATGCATAAACGAATATGTTTTAACGTTACTCTTAACAGATTACCATGTCGGAGGCTGTTGTAGACGATTCGGACGTGGCGAAAGCAATCTTGGAGTATATTAATAGCAACCTGGTTAACAACCTTGTGTTGGGAGCAACGGCTAAGAACACATACACATTTGCTAAGTCTCTTATGTTTAGTAAACACCACGACGTGCAAGCTACCGTAATGAAATCGATACCTGATTTTTGTTCGGTCTACATAATTTCTAAAGGAAAAGTTCAGTCTTCTCGACCAGCTCAAAGACCTATTACCAATACGCTTGCTCCTCCTCGTGTACCCTCGTCTGGCTTTCTGATCCAATCTTTGTCCGATAGCGAGCAAGATCCTGTGCCTACGTAAGTAAACCAATCTTTGTTTTTTTCCCTATTATTTAAAAGATTTGACATAAATCTCTTAAACTCAAGAAGTTTTTTAATAGTATTAATCTTTTATTTAGAATCGGTTCTGAGATTTAGAAGGTTTAAGGCGATTTTTAACGATTTGATGTAAACAAAAATTTACAGATTTGAAGGCGTAAAACTTTTTTTTGGGGTCTGTGTACATGTAATTTTTTTTCAAAAAAATTTGAGACCAAAGCTAATATTTTATCTGGCTTTGGCTAGGGTCGCCCATGCTTTTATTAAATAAATATATTTGATGTGTTTAACCATTTTACTCAATCACTTGCTCATTATATATATTTTAGGGGCCAACGTAGTGCAAGGAGAAAGCCTAGTGAGATATATCCACAGAATCGTGCCTTCAACCCCACGCAAGAAAGATACAAAGCCCCAATAAATGGGTCGATGGATTTCAACAACAATGCCTTTACACAAGTTGCGTTCCAAAGGAACCCCACGATACAAAGTTCGTTTTCTGACGAATCTGAAGGTGGGATGAGGAGTTCTGTTGATGTCTCTTCTCATAATTCAGATTTATATGGTGCATCATGTTCTTCAGAGGAGTCAAATCCTCAATCAACTGTACGTTTTGTTTTGAATGATTTTCTTTCAGAGTTTTTTAAGGATTAAGACTCTTAAGTACTTGGTTGTTACTCTATTTACAGAAAGATATTGAAGCTGAAATGAGGAGGCTGAAGCTTGAACTAAAGCAAACTATGGATATGTATAGCTCAGCTTGTAAAGAAGCACTTACAGCAAAAAGAAAGGTATTCCATCAGTTTTCTAATTAAGTTGTTTGATTAAAATTTTACTACTTGAAATTTTGGTTTATGCACATAAGTTTTTAAAATAATATATTTTTATATTTTTTAAACAAAAACATAATTAATCATTTATTTAATCGCAATTTAACCAATCAAAAATAAACTACAAAATAAAAATAGATATAACACTAAATGTTAATAAATTTTCTATTAAAAACTGAAAACACCATCTAATTTGAAACAATTTATTCTACTTTTGAAACTTACTTAATAGAAAAAGAAGTATAAAAAAGAAACAGAAGAAGTGTGATATTTATGGTTTTTTTCCTAGGCAAACGAACTAAATCAATGGAAAATGGAAGAAGCTCTTAAATTCGAGAAAGCCAAGCTATCTGAAGAAGCAGCATTGGCAGTGGCAGAAATGGAGAAGGCAAAGTGTAGAACGGCCTTAGAGGCAGCTGAGAAAGCTCAGAGAATGGCAGAGCTGGAAGGACAAAGAAGAAAGCAAGCAGAGATCAAAGCAAGAAGTGAATCAGAGGACAAAGACCGTGCAATGAGTGCTTTGGCACATAACGATGTTCGTTACAGAAAATATTCCATAGAAGAGATCGAAGAAGCCACAGAGAATTTTGCAAATCATAGAAAAATTGGAGAAGGAGGTTATGGACCTGTTTACAAAGGTGAACTTGATCATACTCCTGTTGCCATTAAAGTCTTGAGACCTGATGCTGCTCAAGGAAAAAAACAATTTCAACAAGAGGTAGGGTTTTCTATTTTTATATTTCTTGTTACCCAAGATTGCTTGTTTAGTTTATGAATCTTTAACCTAGTCTCTCATTAATAATAATATTTTAATTCGAAAAAAAATTCTATAAAATATTATTATTTTTGGTGAGGGATTTAGTTGAAAAATGTCATTAATCTCATGATTTGTATACTCTCATGTTACAGGTTGAAGTTCTAAGTAGCATAAGGCATCCTCACATGGTCCTTCTCCTTGGTGCATGTCCAGAATACGGATGCTTAGTTTATGAGTTGATGGAAAATGGGAGCTTAGAAGACTTACTAGTCCGAAGAGGAAAATCTCAACCGCTTTCTTGGAGGAAACGTTTCGAAATAGCGGCAGAGATTGCTACCGCCTTATCATTCCTCCACCAAGCTAAACCAGAACCATTGGTTCACCGTGACCTCAAACCGGCCAACATACTCCTAGACAAAAACTACGTGAGCAAGATCAGTGACGTTGGTTTAGCACGGTTAGTCCCTGCATCAGTAGCTAATAACGTCACGCAATACCATATGACATCAGCAGCGGGGACATTTTGTTACATAGACCCTGAGTACCAACAGACAGGAATGTTAACCACAAAGTCAGACATATACTCGTTGGGGATCATGTTGCTTCAGATCATAACCGCAAGGCCTCCCATGGGGCTGGCTCACCATGTCTCGAGGGCGATCAGTAGAGGAACTTTGAAGGATATGCTTGATCCTACCGTGCCGGATTGGCCTTTACAAGAGGCTCAAGCTTTTGCAGCTATGTCGTTGAGATGTGCTGAGCTTAGGAAAAGAGATAGACCGGATCTTGGGAAGGATGTTGTCCCACTGCTTATTCGGTTAAAGAACTTAGGTAATGAATCTAATGATGTTGGTTTAACTCGTGCTGATGAAAGCTAACGTATGGATATGACAAAGAGCTTTGTACATTCAAACATATGATTTGAGATGGTGTTTTCTTATTTATTTATAAATTTAATGTTAAATTAATATAATGGCTCATGTTAGAATTCGAAACCAAAGTGTCTCACACATTCCTTGTAAAGTTTTTTTTTTTTTTTTTACATTACTTGTAAAGTTTATCTTTAGGTTTTCACAACATACTAATATCATGTTGACGTTCACGTTGATTTTTAAGTGGAGACGTCATGTTATAGTGTGAAGTTATGAACCTGTAAAACATGTATAATGCAAGAAACAAGAGAAGATATATACTATAAGTTTTAACCGATAAAATGCTGAACCTTCGTTTTACTAAATGGCCTAAAAGCATTGTAAAAGAAAAGGTTTCTTCCCAGTTTTCTGTAAAGTTTAGATCTTATTGTGTTATTTTTATATAAATTTGGGGTGAATTTATAGTATTAACGAATTTATAGTATTAATGAATTCTGTATAGGAAGTCCTCAAAGCAATGGTCAGCCACGTTTAACAAGCTGGCCCAAGGTTCTATCAAATCCTCTTCCATGTCTCATCTATAGAATAACTCTGTTTTCAGATCCTTAAAGACTGTCTTCTTTGGTTATGTAGTGTGGCAACGTGGGAGAAAGCGAACTATGATTGGATGATGAGGCAAGATGGCACTTTCATCAAACCTGTGACTACCAGAGCCACCACAGTTTGCTAGGTGATCGAATCGAGTTAGGAGACTCATGCCTTGAATGGTTTGCACATGTACACTGCTCTGTTTTAGTCCATATTCTAAAAATCGGGTTATATATCCCCGTCTAATCGGCACATTAGATATGAATGAAACATTTTTTCTAGCATAATTTTTTTTAATAAAAATCGGTTTAGGCGTTCAAAAAACTCTGTCTAGACACCCGTCTAATCACTGACTAACGATTTCTTGAACAATGGTTTTAGTTGATTCATAAGATGTTAGTATGACAATACTAAGGTTTCAATTAGGTGGCTTGTACGGTTCTGATGAGACATGATGAAATGCACATAACATAAGCCTCAAGATAGCATTTATTACGGTCAAGAAAGTCACTATATTTATCAACCAAGTCAACAAGCATATAACAAATAAAGAATGTTACAAAACTATCATAACATAAAACTTCCTATTTTGAAAAAATAACTGCTTAGATCTCTAACCAATCTCTAACTACTTAGATCTCTCCATCTGGTTTAGATTTGACTAAAAACCTATGCTTCTGAAGCAAACTGCTTCCACCGAGTTAGCATTAGACTTTTTCTACTTTTTTTGGGTATTTTGTAACTGTATAGCTTCGCCGAGCTGATGTAAAACGTTTCTATTTTGGTATAAATTCACATTTTATCAAAAAAGAAAAAGAAATGGAGAATAAGCTGTTTCTTGGAACCCTAATATGTCTATTCCTTGTGACACAAGCCACCAGCAACGATGACAACAATTACACTGATAACGAAACGATTCATCCCAGCGAATACTACAGCTCAGACTTCGAACTCAAAGACGGAACCAATGTGATATTCGAAGCTATCAATGAGTTGAAAGGGATCAAGAAACCAGAAGCAGGGTCCGAGTGCAGCATTGGTCGGAAACACTGGACTAGGTCTCTTCCCGGAGACATATTTTACGCCAAGTTCTTCTTTTATAGTGTTAACCCGAACGCAAAGGTGGTTAACCGGTGCCATTTCCGGTCTAGTTTGGGTTATGTCAATATTAATATTGAGATCACTCCAGCGCTTGGACGGCGGTGTCCTGGTTATAGATGCATTTTAGCGATACAGCGTCGGCGTGAAGGGCTTTTGATGAAAGATACTAGTGAGCTTTTTCCTTGGACTCCTTGGCCTCGTCGTCATACTCAACCAAGTTGCCTAAGATGATGACTGAGTGATTTTTCTAATATTGATATTTATGGGAATGTGTGTGTATACATAATGTGTATTTTTTTGCTCTCTCTTGAACTAAATGTAATTAGATTAAAAGAAATCATACATTGAAAAAAAATATCCAGAGTAGTTGGTACGATCTTCTCCAAATTTTGGTTTGAAAACATGTTCTTGATACTGAGCTGCGAAAACATGTATAGAACAGTTTTGAGATGTGCATTGTTTCTTAGATGATAGTACTTTGGATAGAGTTGTCCTCGGCAATTTCTGAATCAAGATTTACCAGATATTATTGTCATGTAAGAATTCATTTTTGGGTGTATTCAAACGAGAGTTCTAGGTGATTTGAATTAAAATAATAAATCCACTGTTATTAAAACATAAATTTTAAAAATTCATTTAAAATTCACTATCATTGAATTTGATATTTTGTTAAGTACTCTCAAGTTTATTGTTATTGAAATCTATATTATAATGGGGGAGTTTACTCACTCCCAGCACGCCATGTCAGCATTTTTTAATGGTCCATGCACGGTTTTTTAACTACAAAAGTAAGTAATGCTGGCTATGAACAATCGATGATCATTTGGCCAAGTGGTATATTCTGCTTAGTTAAAACTTCCTTCCATGAGTATAGGGGTTCGATTCTCCTTAGCTT